ACATTCAGCGCTGGCCAAGTAGATTACTCAACAAAACAACAGCGCCAATAGGTGTAAACATCCGGGTTCATGACAAAGTCTGCTCAAACTTTGGACCGGTGTAACTTCTAGGCTTCTTCTATCCAAGTCAAATTTTACCACAGGAATTTTTGCAGATAAGTCGAGAATTTATCGTGTCCCAGACGCCAGCAGGTATCAGTCGCACTCTGTTTGTCGGCAATAATCAATCACGTAGACATCACAACAATAGTTGTACCTTTTCTCCAGCTGTGTACACGTGCACGGCGGATTCACGTGAACCATCACAGCAGCGTCCAATCGGGTTCATTGCGGGGCAGCGCTTTTCCGCACACTCGGCATTGCTATATTAGCTCCACTATGCCGTGCTACCCTGATAGGGGGTGCTCAAGTGTGTATTGTGTCACTGATTGCTGGGTGCATCGTCAGCACTCATTGTTCGCTCGGCTGCGAGCCACTAAAGGAGAAAGTGAGATTAAATTTCGATTTTACTGATCTTTGTTTAGTCTCGGGAGCTATATTTATCCTTCTTCTAGGACTGTAAAGATATTTGAAAGAGTGACTTATGCAGGGTTAAATGCAAGGCTCAATCCGCATTGAATTGGCTTCTTACATTTTCTAACCTGCACTAAAACAGCTGTGAAATCAAAAAAGGCAAGTCTTAGGGCAATCTAGGATGGGATCAGATTAAAAGTCTCAGAGGTTAGATTGATCTCCCCCTTCCTCTTCTCTCCCCCCTCCCCGCACTTTCTCCTCTGCGCTGCACGTTCGCGGCCTTGGAAATAGAAAACGAGGTTTGTAGGCATTGCTGCTGAATAGAACCGTTCTTCAATGTTGAAAACTCCCTCCCTAAATTTTGTGAGCTAGTAAACTTCAGGCGTAGAATAGTCTCAGAAGTCACATCTCAGGTTTTCCGGGATTTGCAGGCTACTTGCTGCAATTTATCTCACGGTAGGTCCAAATGTGGTTCCTCATCAACATGTCTGCGAATACTTTACGTTCGCTGAGATCTACTAATATTATAGATTTGCCTGCCCAGTCAGCGCAATAAGTCTAGAACGTTTGGGATCAAACTCCTAGACCGCCTCCTCCTTAACTGCCGCACCCTTTGCAAACTTGCCAGTCAGGCTTCTGGCTCAGTTTATCCATTTCTTTGGTCATAGATCTTTTTGCTCCCATATAAAATTCTGCTTACTCGAGCACATTTGACCACACCCAAATCACTCCTTATCACGCCCGTCCGTCTTGCCCTCAGTTCACTTGGGTTCAAAAGGTAATTCGATGAATACCGCGAGTATTCGCTAACGATTTTCAGTTCAGGTCATACTCTGCATATGTCGTTTTCGATCATCTCTGCGGGTAGATTCTTTAATTGAGCGTGAAACTCGTGATCGCACGTTTTCCGCTGGCACCCGGAACTGTAGCGCTCGCCGGTAGCTCAATCGTAGATCGCTTGAAGGTCAACCTATCGCCATGGTGCTATTGTTCTTTATTTTGTATATGTATTCCTTCACCAATTCTTTGTGATATATTTATTATTTAATAAGGTTTCTGCTAGGAAATATTTGTGTGGGAGGAAGTGGTTCTAGGATTACACCTAATTACCGAGATTGTTGAAAAAAAAAACTATTACATAATAGATCCATCCCGTTTGCCCTACTTCGCTGCCCGCAGGGTTTGCACTTGACCTCAACCTCTGGCACGAGATCCAGAACTACGCATTTGATAGACCTATTCTTCTCTTCGCTTCAAAGTAGAGCAGATGAGTGATGCTCATGGCTTTTCAAACAGTCCAAACTTCGTTTGCTTTGAACATTTTCCCACCTCAACCCTCGTTCATTCAAAAAGTTCGGTTAAGCTGAATCTTTAAGTAAGAACTGCCAATCTAACTGCTGGATCATTTTTCGTCTCTGAAAAGGGTTCCTGTCTCATTACTATTTTACTCTGCCCCAGCAAAGGTGAGAGCGAAAGTGGTGTAGTGGCAAAATGATGCTGCTTAGCACGCGCAAGGTTCGGGGTCGAATTTTTAGTTCGTACGCCATGTACATTACCGAGCCTTTCTTGCCTTCGCTTGATTGACTTGTCAGGCCTGAATAAAAACAACTACTTGTGCATTGGCTGCCCCCTCAACAGTATAGGTTAGAAGCATTCAAAATGTTGCGATTCTGCATGGAAGTAGAATGCGTGGCGCATCCCAGAGAGCATTCACCAACGTCGGCCGTTTTATTCGAAACCTGGTTCAGCACGGAGCTTTTTCCACCAATAGCATCTATTTCTTAATTGAGTATACATACACATTTATTGCTCCTGATTGTGAGTCAAAATAAGTTGCTGAGATAATATTCTTAGAGGGATTCATTTCTTTACTTCAGCACTTTGCAGAGGGCCCAAGACGCTTGTTATGGCAAATGCTTCCGCAAATGGCTTGAAAAGGTAACAGTCACTTGGTTCTTTTTTTGCACAAATGAGAAAGGGTTCAAGCAGTCCGCCAGTTCCTCGTCACTGTTGTGATACTCGAAGGCCGCTGTTATAAGATATCCGCTCTCACTCTCGGCACCATTTACGAAAGGCGGCCTGCTAAGCTTGTTATCAACCGTCCATTACGAAATGGGAAAGCTCAAACACACAAATCCGCCTTGTATGTTGGACTTTGCCCTTAAGTAGGAGCCCTCTGTTGCCCTTTATTTCCATTGATATCATGCGTACTGACAAGGGCTATAAATACCATGTAGATCACGTCTGTTCAGTCCCATTATGAAATTGGTGCTCTGACGTGAATCGATGTCAGTGTAGGTGACGTACTGGAGTGGTAGGAGTGGTTGGTTGGTGCGGTTGCCTGATGAATAGATGTGTATCGCTGATATGACGGCGACGGGCAGGCATGCAGTCCAAGGGGGTTTCCCCGGCAATCTCCTGTCAACTGAAGAAACGACTTTATGACATGCTGATAGTTCGATAATATCTTGTGTCGTTTTGATTGTTGTTTCTTTGTTCTGATCATTCTCTGTGCTCTCTCCTCCCTCCAGTTTTCCCCTCCCATAATCACACGCCATTTCATCGGTTACAGCTGTTTTCGTGCTCGCTCCTGAATTCATCTTCTGCTGCAGTTTCAGATGATTGCGATCAAGTCGGCTCAACGCCTTCCTCGTGGTCTAAACGTCGAATGGACAGACGGAATGCGAGCGAAATTCAGTAACGTCTGGTTGAGGGATAATAGCCTACATATGCGACCAGCGCTCATACACCTTGATCTCAACCCACGACCACAGGTTTGTTGGACGTTTCTTGATCTCTCCTCAAATCTATTCACTTTCTTCTATGCATAGCCCCAAATGCGTGGCCCATCTGAGCTTGCAAAGTGGCGAGTTCTTGATCATTTTTTCTCAAAATATGAATTAAATAACATAAATATAAAATAAAATAATAATAGTAAAATAAAATAATAATAACAAAATGGGTGGAATAAATACATAAAATAAGAAATAAAAATATCATCATCCTAAGTTAATTTATTAGAAAGTTCTCTATGCTTTAGTACATAGAAAGGAAGATGGAGAAGTTCTCTACATTAGCTTCCCGATTCTGTGTTAGTAGAGTGGTGATAAATAAGCCAGAATCACGATCCCCGTGCGTTGCACGTGAAATACGTGATCGTTATGCTGCACGTACCCTGACCCCGTTAACTGGTTTAGTAAACTCGTTTTCTCACATTACTGGATTAATTATGCTAGCCAAACCACAGTTTTCCGTGAGGTTACTTCATGAAAGGATTTTTCGAACCCGGAAATGTGCATTAAATAAAACGAAAATATGAAAATAGAAATAATGAAATAAGAGGATAAAATAGACATATTAAAAAAATATGAATAGAATATGAAGACATAAAGCTGTCTAAGTGCTTTCGAAGCCGCGACCAAGGTGGCATGGTAATTCCTCTCAAATATTTAGGTGAGGGCGAAGTGGATCACCAGTTAACATAAAAAACCGAAAGAAACAATAGAGCCATTGAAATTACCGGCTTTCTCCTTCTATGCTGTGAAGGAAGTCGAAGAGGTCGGCAGCGAGATATAAAGATAGGAGGTAATGGGTAGCGAGGAGAGTGAAAAGATACCAAGGCGCAAGAGCACAGAAGATCAGCGATGCGACAGATATGGCAACGGCGAGCTGGATCTGACCAGCATTTAGACAAGAATAATGCTTTATAGGACATCTTCTGCCACAACGACGCGATGTATCCCCCATTCCCATCACGCCTTTTCAAATTTTTCGCAACATTTATTCACCGAAGGTGAGGGGTGGCTTATGGTTAGAGGATTGAATTTCGCCTCGAGGCTTTTCTTATTGCATCCAAAACAAAATTTCTTCTTCTCGTTCAATGCAAAAGCTAATGTGACATGAGAACCGCCGTGTGGCAAAGGAAACTGCCAAATAAAAAAGAAAATTCACTCTGATTTTCCATCACTCTTTACTCAAAAGTCCGGCTGTAAAAGCGGTCGTTGAAACATCGGCTGGCCATCCTTACTCCTTGTAGACCGGATTTTTCCACCAATCTTACTGGAAATCGAATTATTGATTGTTAAGTTATTGATTATTGTCATTTTATCTCACAATTTGTATAGTAAACTTTTTATACTTTGAATTATTTTGATTTGATGGAACCTGACTATTTTTGTTCATTTTTAGAAAGTCGATTTGTCTGGCAACTGTGTTCCACTCGAATGGCCACCGTTTCTTCGAGCTGACTTTCCGAGTGAATTCCTGCGTTCACATAGCCGTGTACAACCGGGAACTAACCTTTGCAAAAATCCTAACAACACAGGTTTGTATCGCCCTTTGCAACATTAAATTGGCGAGATTGCCTTGATAAGTCCGTTACGTGGCCACGGAATGCTTTGACATGATTGATTGAATTTTAGATTTTGACGAAACCGTGGCGAATTCAGCAACGGCCGTGCTCCATTGATCAGCGTCATATTGGTGCAATGATCTGGAAGGAACCTTTGGTTATCAACGGCACTGTTTGGCCACATCTTGAAAAAGTAATCATTGAAAATTTAATATTGCGCATTTTTCTGGGCTGCATTATTTCTCGAATTTCGTCCTACTGTTTCCAAACATCAAAAGAAACCTTGCCATGAGAGCATCAAAATCTAAACCAGCATCTAAAAGATTTTTACCTCTAATTCATAGAATTTTCCGATACTCTTTCAATGATTCCACTTGTTTTCCTCATGGCCGAATGTTCGTAAAGGACAATAAAGTGGAAGGAAAACCATATACTTATCCTAGAGAGGTTGTATTTAGGGAAGTGGCATGATATTTTTGGGACACATGGGGAAATATTTTGGGACAATTTGAGAAGTTTTGCGAAAGGAAAGCTTGGAGAAATTCCAGCAATTTTGTAAATTTTGAATATTCCTCTTTTCTCCACCACCCGCCTAATTAGACTCGTATCCAAATCTCTCGGAGATGGAAGTGTGCTGGGTGGGTTTATCAACGCTGCAGGAATTGAGAGGGGGGGGAAGCATAAAAATTTTGAGGTGGGCACAACCGATAGTTGGCGCCTAAATTCCTATCATAAAACGGTAGCGCGAAGTTCTGAATTTTCCAGAACAAGTCGCTTTTCAGCTTTTGGAGTGGGATTGATTCGTCGAGAAGACCAAAGGAATCAAAAAGCGTACTAGAGGTCCGCTTGATAACTGGTTTTATCTAAGAGGTCATCACCAGTGCGTAAAACTTTTTGCTCCATCTGATCTTCGACCGTTGAAGTACGCGATCGTCATCTAGCGATAAGACCCAGGAGCGATAAATTTCTTACTTTCATCGTACTTCAAAATCAATCGCCATTGCCGTTTAAGCTGCATCCCCAAAAAAGAACCGACAATGTGGGGAGGCATTCCATTGTTCACTCTCCGCTTGAAAGCGTAGACGAAGAGTAAACGACTTCTTCAAATCCCCACCTTTGAATAAATTGAACAAATTTTAAAAATTCGAACAATACATAGTGCTGAATCCCGGAAAACAGTGTTTTTGGCCAAAGTGATGGTGGAGGAGTTGTAAATGCAGAAAACATAATTGTTTAATTTAAGTAATTTTTCCTACTGACCATAATAATTTCATTGCAAAAAATACGAGCGAATAAAAGTTGAGCTAAACTTGGAATATTTCCCTGTTCCACTCACCGTATCTAATTTCTCGAGTGCGCAAGATCTGCTTTTCTATTTGCTCTTTTGAGTGGTGAGTGAAGCCTTACCAGAAGAAAGGGTTATATGCAAGTGAAAGTTCCATGCAGCGATACGTGCGTGCTCAGGTGAATCTGTCTAAAGCGAGTTAGGCCACACCCCTTTTTTTGACAAAATGCGACTTCTTCACTAGCCATTTTTTTCGTTAGAAGTACAGTAGGGCAAACACTCCATTACCTTCGATGTATTGAATTAATCAAGCCTTAATAGGGTGAGCGACGTGTTAGGAAGCTAGGCAGCTAGTATGATTCACCCCCCCCCCCTCCTTTCACCCTCCAGCTAGGGTTTCATCATCGTTGTAATACTACATTCATCTTTCGTATAACAATGCCTTACTTTTCTGTAGAATCCGTTGTGGGAACAGAGGATCAGTGGCTCCAGTCAATGGAGATATTCTCTTTATTGCCCATTACTTCCCAAACAAAGTCTGATGTCTCCCGAAGATCCGTTGAAAACACATCTGTCATTTAGTCGGAACAATCCCTTCTTTGAAAGAGGTGTTATAGTTGAGTCCTTGCTCCGTATGTCGTGCCTAGTGCGTGGGAATTGAAAGGGGACTGCAAGACCGCAAGGAAGTTATGGGGTCTGCTGGCTCTTTCTAATTGTTGTATCCTAGTTTTCACTTAAATTACTTTTTCGCTGTTGAGAGTTCCTCCTCGAACCTGAGATATTTTAGTTTGCCCCTTGTATGTTGTAGCCTCGTTCCCTCTAAATACTTTTTCCTTCAAGAAGTTCCTCGAAACCTTGAGAAATTTTAGTTTGCTTGTGTATTATCCTCCCCCAGAGCTAGTGTAGCAAACATTCCTTTTTTGTTTTCAACGATACAGCTTCTTTACCTTCAACACATCTGTATTCTCCACCCGTGTATACATACAGTAGGTTTTCACCAAGTTGTAAGGTTAGGTGACCTTTTCTTAGGGTAATCTTGGTTAGGAAGACAATGAAAATCTGACGAGGTTTTTGCTACCCTCGCCCGGGGAGGATAGGATACATCCCTCGGTCGCGGCTAGACCACGCCCCATGCAGAGTGTCTGTGTTCTCTCGTCTAATATACTCCCTCGCTCGTACCTTCTTCTGGGCGCACAGTGTCTCGTAGTCTTAGCACAGTCTGCTCCACTGAGAAAGAGAAGCCCTTAATTTCAGAATTTCGTTGAATTTATTATGTTTTCTTTTATTTCCAGTTTCATTTTCGAGGTCAATAGCAGCACTGCCTGCTCACCGAGTGTGCCTTCCCAACCCTACCTAGTCCTCACATCTCTTATGAAAACCACAGGTGATTCCGTTACACACTGCTCTCCCGCCCTCGTGGCTTACCCTGGCGGTGAGCCATATAGGTTTTCATCGGTGTTCTTCAAATAATACAGAACTCCAGCAACTTCTTCGCCTTCGCACCTGTGAAATTTTTGTCCACACATCTCTGATTAGGAGTACTGCTGTACTTGCCTCGCATTTCCCCTGGAATGACCTTTAGCTGATGGTTCAAGGTTCACGACGGCGATTTTTCTTTCCGCTCATTCCCGACAGCGTGACCACCAGTGCGCCCCGCCCTTGCGATAACGGCTGTCTTCGTTACAAGTGACATCTTTTTGCAAAAAAGTACGCAGGAATTGCGTTTCAGCACGTCTGATGGATTGACAGAAATGGGCAAAGAAAGAATCGCTGTGGACTTGGAACGTACTGGATTCTTAGTAAAACGGGAGCCGCTTGCCACTTGATTTATGAGTTCATCCCGGGTAAAAATGGGTAGTATCAAGAATTTTCAGAACGTTAAAATGCCAGAGAGGGGCTGGCTACGCACATATAGTTTCAATTCTTGATACTTCATAGGGAACAGGGTCATCCATCGCGTTAGCTAAATTTCGGATTCGGCGCGACCTAATTTAGAAAGTTTTAAAAAAATCGAGCATTTCATAAATCCAATCGCTTTATGCGACATATCCTGCTTCATTCATGACTATACACTTGACAGTAGCGTGTGCGTGAAATCTGCCAGCATTTTGATTTTTTGTGGGAAGATTCAGGGGCTTGTGGAGTACGAGTTGGTGAATGATCTATGTGGTGTTTCATATAGAAGTCATGAGGCGTACAAACAAATTACTCTGTACCGTGGCCTTGGTTTCCTCTTTATTTCCCCACTGATCCCTTGCGGTCGCTGCTATTTTCCTGCACGTTGTAGAGGGACTTTGAGAACTGTTTTGGTTGTACTATAGACCTTATGCGATGAGCGATGATCGCCAATCATTTCCGTTCTGCTATCGCATATGTCAGAGATCAGTCGGACCCGAAAAGTCACACGCTTTGACGACAATTGATAAAATGGACGAGCGAGCTATTCAGTAAAACTTGGCACGACCTTCTGTCTTGACTGTTTGTGGACACCACACTTGACCGTAATCCCTGCTCAAAACGCATAGGAACCAACGGCAAATTCTCGCTGTCAGAAAATGAAAAAAAATCGATTAAAGGTTCCATGAAAGACTTGGATTTGCATTGTAGCTTAATCAGTGACGGCTTTCCATAGGTATGGGTGGGTGATTGATCTCAAATTATTGGTGATGCTTCCAGATTCCGTCCGTGGTCACGGTGGAGACGCGGTTCGAAGGAGCACGATTGAGTCTGGTTGATTCGATAGCAGCGCTCAAACGGTTGCACGACGAATATCCACTGTACTTTCGATTCATGATGGAGAATCCGATTGAGTACGAACATGCATTCTTCAAAGCGTCTCACCATCTGGCCAATGTCGACAAAAATGAAATCGTTTCGGTGAGTCATGCATGGAAAAATTCTCATTGCGTTTTTGAGTTATAGCCGCATCTCTATGCGGAATAACAAGCAAAAAAATAACTTTTCTTGTTTGAGCCTCTGAGAGCCTGTAAAAATTGTACCGCACGCTTCGATTGAGCGTGGAGGGGCTGTTGGTCAAGCTGTTGTACAGTTAGCGATCAACTGCGAGTCCGGCCACGGAAAAGATGTACAGCGCTTGCTGCCTCGCGTCATAGCCGTTGATAGCTTCCTCGACGCGCTGCTACTGTTCTCTACCGCCCTGCGCCTCTTTACATCAACGGTATCTCATTGAACCGTGCGGTATGGGTACCACCCGGGCCGCCACCCAGGGGGCCGGCTAGCCCGTCGCGCCAGCAAGAAGGGCTGAGTCGCGGACCAGTCGCAGCGTGTGAGCGAGAACTTATATGAACATTCACTATTCAACTCCCCTTCGACGCGAACATTCTACACATTTAGCTTGACGCGAAATCCCTACAGTACGCGCGGAACTCGTCCGCTCACTCGCCTTCTTGTCGCGCGACGGGCCTCCTGGGGGTACCCTGCGGTTTCACTCGAGAATCCTGGTTGTGGCCAGGGCTAATAACGGTCGCCGAGAGTGAATGTACACGCGGAGAGCACAGACGGCTCGCGCATGGCGAGTGTGAATGTCCGCGCGAGAGACGTAACTGATCAGGCGAAAATCCTCGACGTGCCGTTGAGGAATCCTCGACATTCACCCTGGTTGTGGTGCTTCCAAAGGACATAGGAGCAACTGTGGCTGTTCATTACAGGCCCTACCAATCCTTCTCTACCTGCGAGTAGCCTAATCTCAAAGGAGAATTCAACTTTCAATTGGAGGTCGAAAAAGTGGAAGTACCTTCGAAATGGAGACAGACCTCCAATGGCTACGGGGCGAGGCGCTTTCGTCGCTGAAGAATGCGTTAGTGAATGAAAGCATGAATGTGAATCATACCCTACCCTACCTCATATCATATCAGTGACAACGGCAGCGGTGGGACTCGCGTTAATACAGATATCAGACAGAAACTGACAGGAAACGAGGTCCTATTTTTCGGGTTCTGTTAGCAAAATTCAATAAAAATTAGGGGATCGGCTCGCTGGCATTCCGGGTTGCTTGAGAATTTCTGAAGGCGTTTCTTATTTCAGGCAGTGTTCAACAATGATTTTCGCTCCAGCCAGATGACCACCGAAAATTTGGATCTCTTCTATCGCAGTTTGAAGGCTTTCTATAATATCTGCTGTGAGATGCAGCAGGAAATCTATATCAATTCCAATGAACTGCTTGTCGTCGACAATTCCCAGTTGCTCATTGGCGCTCCAGCCCAGTGGGGACGAGAGATGCGAGTTCGTATCTTTGCTTGAGTCGCTCCTGGATCTAAAAACGTTTCACGGCAGTTTTTGCCCTCTCATTAATTCTTAACTTTACCATTGAAAAAAGCAGGAAAGTTTCGTACCGAATTCATACGAATGAGATAGAGAAGGCCTAAGACGCATGCGGTTGCGCCGCGGTGTTTCAGCATAATAGGTCTTTCAGTTTGCTGTTTTTCATTGTTACCACAAATTCGCTTCGCATAGGTCATTCAGTTTGTGTTAGGAAGAATCATTCAGAACAATGAAACTACGCAATCCAACTGACCACTTTGTTTACACGCCTCGCAACCGCACGCGTCCGCGATCGCTCGCCTCATATCCGCCATACTGTAAGAGTATGTCGCGATGTTGTGCAGTTTATAAGGAGAAATCTTCGATAGGACTCATTGTGATTAATTTTAAGCAGTCAAGTCTTCTGAAGATAATCTTCACGTAAAGTAATTCAAAAAAGTCCCTTGTTTTTGCCGCTACAGTACCCTTTTCAATAGGTTCAAAATGCGCCTTTAGTTTGCTCTCGATGCATGCGAGTATGTCAAACATACTAATCGATTTTTTCGCGGACTTGGCATTAGTCTATAGCTGGACGCTAAACAGCTTCCAGCAACAGCACATACCTTGGACCAGAGTTATCGAGCAATGCTTTACTTATGCTGATGGTTACCAATATTTTCGTCGTCAGCTTCAGTTTCAGTCAGTTGTGTGATTGCTAAGCCATTTGTAATTTCCCGTGGTCGTCACTATTACTTCCCTCTTTACAACTTATGTAATCTTATCGCTTAAAAAACTGGTCCATACTTCTCCGATAATTAACGTGTTCTATGTTCAACTCAGGAATTATATTTCATGAAAGTATTCTTTCATGTGTTCATGTGCGTGTGCAGTTGTAAATAGGTTGTTTATATGTTGCCCGTTGTACATTTGTAGATGTTGTTTGCGTTGTATTTTGTGAATAGCGTGAAAAAAAGATTCCTGACTCGGTTTGTGTCATGTGAATGAAATGTATTATTATTTTGCTATTTTAATGAATATTATTATGACTGTAATGTTAATTGCTTTAACGTGCTGTGTTATTACATATGCTAGAAGTTATTAGGTCGTGAAGAAAGTTCTTGCGCTTTTCGACCTTGATTTTCAAATGCCTGTATCTCGGCTCATTCGAAACCTTTTTGATTGGAGTAAAGACTGTTAGAATCCACAAACCTCTGCCAATAATAGCTGCGTTGAATCAGCCCGGTAGTGCAGAATACCGGAGCTCTAGAGACGAATGAACCCGGCGGAGGTCGTTTCCGCAGCATCATGTTGGTTTTTGAGTAACTTTTTGGAGAGCTATCTAGCGGTGGTCGAAGAGAGTTTACAAATTATAGAGCAAAAAGGCTACGAGTATGATTGTTCCCAGGACTAATTCGTAGCCAATCTTGCCCATCTTTTGCAGGGTTGGTTGTGGAATGTGCGTCCGAGCTACTTGTCATTCCTTTATAACGAGGAATTTCGAGCATATGTGCCAGAGTTCTAGAAATAGTTTGCCGCATTTTCAGAAGTACTCTTTCCACATTAACAGATCCACCTGGTTACGAAAAGCTAGGCCAGCCGCTGACCTTATGAAAGTCACCTCAACCTTCTTTCAGTGAAGTTTCACTTTTGCAAAGTTTGTAGAGGCCTGATCGCGGTCCGTCACTTCACCAAAGGTCCGTATTCTATAGTAAAAATCGTTTGTCGTGATGTACGTCCCAATGATCAAAAGTCAGGTTTTCATGGCATGAAACAAGCTAGAACGCGGCGAACGACCCTTCAAAATGGTGAGCTGTCGCGGCACGCCCTATTTGAATTTTTGGGACTTTCCAGCTCTTCCCGTACAACAAGAAAACACAATGCAAGTGCGATTAGTTTAGGAGGAACCCTCTCAATAGATTTTGTGCAACATGCTTTATTGCGAATCTCAGCCAAGTGCGTCTATAATATCTTGACCTGCTCCCTCTCCATACTGGCCTGCTTTGAGCTAGAAAAAGGAAATCATGCAAATTTGCTCTTGGAGTATGCCGTATTCAAGGCTTCAAAAAATGACAACTAAAGAACATAGCCTAGCTGTTAGATAGAACAAGAAAAGCTCTTCAAAACCACATACAGCTCATTGGCGGCTTGCTTGAATTCGTAACAAAATAAAGCGTTCAAAAACGAAACACCGAAAAGCGCAAGAACTTTCTTCACGACCTAATAAATTTACCAATCGACAGCCGAGTTTGAGGTGGAGTGGTGCCCTTAATGTTATGGTTGCAAAGTCGCCCCGAAAGTATGAGATGCGACAAAGGACCAACGTCGTTGGACAAGTCCAACCAACGGTGTCGTATTTGGCGTTCTATGAGGGCGGGGGGTCGTATTGCGCAGGAGTAACGCGATCAAGTTGGGTGGAGACGAAAACAGGTGACAAAAGCTGTAACGAAAGCTCTACGCCCAGGATCGCAGCATTAAACGATTTTAATCAATGCGTTTGCTGCCGCGACACTGCAATACTGCTCCTAACTTTTGTAACATCTACGCGTTGCGACGGTTCTGTAGCGTCGCAAACCGTCGCACCATTATAACTTCCTTGAAAGCGGGTAATATGGAAAGATCTTTACAGCAATAGATCGCCTCTCTGTGGCGAGTCATGTGTATAACCTACTAATATGCTTGACAATAAGTTATTCATGAAACTAGTTGAATTCGTGTCTGACTGTCGCTATCCTCTCCCATTATCTCTCCAATCTGGCTCTTATCGTTAGCTACCGCCTTCATGATATCACAAAGCCTTCCTTAGAGCTCTTCTCTACTTCCTCGGCCCCATTTTGAACCCACCAGGGCCCCTGAGGTATGCCTCCCTGAACAGAAGAGGGGAAACCCTCCCTGGTAAGGTATGCTCTCCTGCTCTGTTCAGGGAAGCATACCTTACGGCTCCAGATGTTATGTACGTATATTTCCCACCTTGCGCCCATGCAATTGTGTACAGCAAGCGATTACAGTGTTCTTATGCCTACAATACTGATACTAATTTTTGTTCAATCGACGGTTTGCGACGGGTAAAAACCGTCGCAAACCGTCGCCTCGCCATAACTCTTGAAGAAATGTTCACGCGATTTGAAAAGTACACCAGCTGATAGCTCTGCTCGAGATTTACAAGATGCTATATTTCAATTTTCGAAAGAGCTTCATCTAGGATTGCAGTAGTGGTAGGCCCATTATGTGACATTCCCCACTTTTAGAGGAGATGTTTTGTGGAAACCTGAGAAGAAGATAGCGAGGAAATCTCTCCACCCGCGTAGACTACGGTTACTTTTCAGTAGGAATTAGGTAAAATATTTGGTCGCAGGTGTGCGTTCCTTCCGTGGTGTGGCCCCAAACATCACTGCTCGTCATGTCCTTGTGATATGATCAGACAACAACAAAGAAAATAGGTGTGCGTTCCTTCGTGGTGTGACCCCAAACATCACTGCTCGTCATGTCCTTGTGATATGATCAGTTTTTTTGCTTGTCCAGAAGGACCTTTGGAACCTGAAATGTGCACCATTCGACTTTCCCATGAAAAATACTATCGAATGGTGTACAACACAGGTTGCACACGAAACTTTGTTTTTTTCACCTTTTTCTCCCCATTGGCGATCGTTTTTCCAGCCCTTGGCGGCCACGTGCGATTCACGTGCACCTCGCGACCCGTTACCCTTCGCATCTCTCTCAATTGACTATTTAATTAATTACTACTTAAGCTCAATTATCATTCGGAAAGGTAAACAGCTGATATTCAAGTCATCAAATTTTTTTCCCTCGACAACTCCAGAGCTAATCTACTGAACTCGCAGTGATAGAAGGCTGGCTAGACTGGACGGCGTGCGGTCGATTACTCGATCCCCTGGCCGTGCGTGTGGAAAACGCCGCTTCTTGCCACTCCGTCAGCTGCATATAACCAATAATGATAAAGGATCCTACTTACTA